TCCCTGTCAGGATTTGAGGCCAGGCTGGATGGGACTCTGAGCAGCAAGGCCCAGTGGAAGGTGTCCCTGCTCATGGCAAGAGGGTTGGAACTAGATGAGCTTTAAGGTCCCTTCCAGGCCAAACCATTCTATGATTCTACATATGAAAAAAACCCTAAGTTTGGCTGTAGTAGAAATAAAACCCCTTTGTTTTTTGAAGGGCTCTTGCAGTTAATCCCATCCTGGATGCATCTTTCAGCAGGGAGCAATTACGAGGTGCAAATCTGCTTGGAAAGGCAAATGCTGCCTTTTGCTGAGGTTTCCCTCTGTGTTTACACCATTCTTGTGGCACTCTATCATTATCCTGGTTATCATCATCACCGACGTGGTTATCTTCACACCACATATTATTTGTAAATTATGAGCTTTTCCAAATCTGGAGATACACATGGAGAGTTCCTGAGCTATTATCCTTGGGGAAAAAAAAAAAAAAGCCATGTCAAAGGTTTACAAGGCCATTTCAAGGGATTTTCAAATACATCCTGAACAACCATTACTGACTTATTCTGTGTCATAGTTCTATAAACTGTATCCCTGGATGCATCCACCCCACTATTATGGGAGATTATCACATTAAAATAGGTCAATTGAGGTCACTTGGGTTTTTCCCGTAATCAGCTCGTGGTTTCTAACACTTTTTGGAGCTTCTTTTCCTTGACTTTGAAAGTCAAATCTACCTTTGCTTTTTTTTAATTTAAAACACACATTGTTCTGTCTCCAACAGGTAAAAACAGGATAAAGGAAAGAAAAGTTTGATGAAAGAGCTCAGAAAACTCAGTTTCTACAGACTTCTGCCTGTCAGTTGGAAGATTTCTCTGGTCTCAGGGACTGAAAGAGAATTAGTAGGAACATGAGTTTATCAAGACCAAGTGCTGGTGCTGTACCTGGGCCTGGGCAACCCCTGGGGTGAATCCAGGCTGGGGACGGGCAGAAGGAGAGCAGTCCTGGAGACAAGGACTTGGGGTGCTCTGGGTGAGAGGCTGGACATACCTCAGCCCAGAAATCCTATCCCTGGCAGCATTCAAGGCCAGGTCAGACCAGGCCTGGAGCAACCTGGTCTAGTGGAAGCTGTCCCCTGTGTCAGGGGTGTTCAACGAGATGATCTTTAAGGTCCTTTGCAACCCAAACCATCCCAGGATAGGATGCCATGACCTAAAAGTCCTTGAAAGATGCTCCTGATGAGTGTGTTTGCCTTGCATTGGGCAGCTGGAGGTACAAGTGCTGAGCCTGCAGAAGGAATGTTTTGCCCCTTGTTATTTGTCTCCAGTCATCATTTGAGATCCTAAACGGAATTCCATTCATCTTCAGGTATCCTGTTGGTTACACTAAAAGGCAAAAGAATGAGTGTCCTCCTGTCAACCTAATTATGCAGGACTCGTACATAAATCAAGGCAGATTGCTTCCTGTCCTGATGCCAAGGAAAGGCAGGGAATAATAAAAAATAATGCCACACATAAAGCCTGGAGACAATAGAGGTGTGTGGTGCGTACCCATGACACGCTATCTGAGGGTTTGAAGTGTCTGCAATAAGCAAACAATAAGCAAACCCAATTTCAGCACTTTGAGGAACTGTTTGTCCTGCAATTTGGGGTTAGTACCTAATTATGAACTCATGCATCAGGTGCTGAATGTCCTCCAGGCAAGCACAGAGCTGTATAAAAGCTCTCTGCAGCAAGGGCTTTCCATCCACTTCTTTCACCTTGTCTGCCTTCATCAGCCTGGTAAGTCAAACTTCTTTCCACTTCTCGAAATTTGTGGTCAAGAACTTGTGATTTTAACTTGGGACCAAGTCCTCTTCCATCACTCTCAGGCTGCCTGTGCTCTGTAGAATGGATATTTGGAATGGATATGTGAGATGTAGAAAGGATGCATATGAAATTTGGTCTGGATAGAATGTTTAATTTCTCATCCATCTCCAGATCTGGCAAAAATAGGCCCCAGGAGAGGGGGAGGCCAAGTGGTTTTGAATCCCAAACTTGTAGCATTTTAGTGCTTTAAAGAATTCCTTGACTATATCTCAGGAGGTGAAGAATAACTCCTTGCCATGGCAGTGTGTGGCTGCATTTGAGTTCTGCTGAGTTTGTAATAGGAAAGATCAAACTTAGTAAGGGGAAATCATCAACTAAGACTAATGTAATAATGTCAAAACTATCTCATTCAGAAACTGCAAAGACAGAACTGAAAACTACATGACTTTGTTGTACTGAGGACAAGTTTGGCCTAGAGATCACAGTGCTAGGAAGAACAGTGATAGGAATTGTGTTCACTTCCTAGATTTATTACTACTGGAATGCTCCAGCATAACCTAATGCTTGATGTGACTTTAATGCTGACATCAATGTTTTGCAGATTAACTTCCATCCCTGCGAGATGTCTTGCTACGACCTGTGCTCCACCTCTGCCTCTGGCATCATGCGCCCCCAGCCCCTGGCTGACAGTGGGAACGAGCCCTGTGTGAGGCAGTGCCCCGACTCCACCACCGTCATCCAGCCACCCCCTGTGGTGGTCACCTTCCCTGGCCCCATCCTCAGCTCCTTCCCCCAGGAATCCGTGGTGGGATCTGCTGGAGCTCCTCTTGTTGGGGGCTCCTTTGGCTCTGGGGGCTATGGCTCCCTGGGTTATGGGAGCTCTTCCCTGGGCTATGGGGGTCTGTATGGC